TAGGAATTAGAACAATTTGATGCTGAAGCAAAAGATTGGAAAAATCTTGAATTACAATCAGCCTCCACAATCCACTTGACCTTGGCCCCTTGTCTCCACCATGTATCCTATCGTGCTATAGTTGAATTGGATTCCCCCACTTTCACTTTGAGAACTAAACTATCTTCCTCTGAGATCCCACCATCATTAGCTTCTTTATTTTGTAGCTCCTCAATTTCATTCAACAAGCACTCCTTCAATTGAAATAAACTTTTATGTTTAGCTTTGCTCCAGAAAAATAGTGCCTACAAGTATTTTATCATCTTGGAATTCAGGATTTGAGAGAAGCTAAAAGTAGTTTTAATTAACCAAACCCCTCTCACTACCGCAACTGAGGCCTTATTGGAAGTCCAATCATCTTCAAATATGAATACTCTTTTAAGCAAAGGTTGGAATTCAAGTATATTTAAAAGGATAATACAGTGGTGTGAAGCAACACGCGCCTCATGAGTTTAGTGAAGAGTTTAGTGCAGTTGAATTAAAAAAGCATCTATCCAATCTTTCAAGGATCTAATCAGATTTGTTATTACACCAAGGAAACCTTTGTCTGGCATACCCAACCTCATGAAAATCATTACAAGAGAAAAAAGCCTTCATTTCCATTGTTCCTAGACAAAAGATAAATCTTTTTCCTCCACTCTTGTCTTCTTTGGAAAGAATACAATTAAATTTTCCCCCTATTACCACAGCCAAATCCTTGGAGGAGTATAACTCCAAGCTCTCCCAAAGTCTCCTCCTTTTATAGACATCCTTATTCCCATATATTGAAGTAATTCTCTACCTTCCTTTGTTAGGAACCTCCAAATCACCAATAATAGGGGGGGGGGAGGATTCCAAAACTTGAAACATATCAATGCTAGACTTCCATATCAACAGTATGCCCCCAAACAACCCTTCTAAAGAAACTTGGAAAAAAATCCCAATATGAACCTATTAACAAAACAACATCACTCCTTTTAATATTTAAAATTTTGGTTTCCAACAAACCAAGAAAAAATACCCCATGAACCTTCACAACCTACTCAAATATAGTTAAGCTTTCTTCTTTCTAGCTCCTCTACAATTCCAAAAAGCTATGGAAGACATTATTGGATATGAGGGGATGAAATCACCATTTTATTTTAATACTCACCATCCACTCTCCTACTCTTAAGAGCCAAGTTAATAGGTCCCAAACCATTGAGTTACATGGAACCCCTTGCCTTAACATTAGAAAAACCATCTTCCTTGCATCCCAAATCTGAATTTATTTCCTCCATAGTTATTTTCAAGCAACCTTCTCTCACTCTAATATTGCCATTCCAGCAACATGGAGAAGTAGCAACATCTTCCTCTGGGATTATAATCTCTCCATCCTCTACCAACCCATCTTAATTTTGAATTTATTTTCGTTAACAGAAGTAACAGAGGTTTTTATTTCCATACCAACTTTGATGTTTAAATCCCATGAATTATCTAGAACTTCATGAGCTAATCCAGATCCAAGTTAATCATGTTGTTCTCCTCCCATATCTTGAATAATCTGTCATACAAATTTTGATAGAGAATCCTCATCTACTCTGTGTCTTGCTGGTCCCCCAAAGTACTCCTTAGTTGCACTAGCATTGCCTTCTATAGAATTAGCTACCAAAATGTCAGTTTTCTTTATAACTGAAGCCTCCACTGGACATGGATTAAACCTCCTAAAATAGGACTTTTATTTCTTCTTTTCCCATAGTTAATGCGCACCCATGGAGCATAACCTCTTTTATCTTTATTAGAACCATCAACCAAAAAATTACTAGTTACTTTGTAATAATCTACCTCCATTGGCTTTCATGAACTTTCCCCCTATTTTGAAACATTATTAATCTCCTTTTTATTATCCAAACAATCCTTCTTAAAGTGACCAATCCTGCCACAATTGAAACAGAAATTGGGAATTCTCTCATGTTCAATCTTCTGAAAGAATTTCCCGTAGCTTCCCTCCACCAAAACTCCAAGAGGCAATTGATCATCCAACTTAATGTGAACAAAAAACCTCGCAAACGCCCTTGTTCCCCATTGAAATATGTTTCCATTAATCAAATATGGTTTTTTAACCATAGATGCAATTCTGCATAAATTTATTTCATCCAAACATTATAAAGGAAGGTTAAGCATCTTAATCCAAAAAGGAGCAGTTAAGCCCTTTAAGGAGGTTGGTGGGAAGGTTGGAAACCATCAATCAATCTCAATGATCTACCCATTAACAAACCATGGTCCATTTGAGAAAAAAATTCTAGCGGCTCTTGCTCAATGAACGAACAAAGAACCCAATCCATACCTAGTATTCTGAGATGGAATTTACCATAAGGAGCCCATTGTATTCTAAGCTCAAAACTCATAACTATAAAAGGGACATTTCCACTAAAAACCTTCATCATTAATGAATTTTGAAGTTTTAAAGAATTATCCAATTCATTTTGCATACGAAGTTTAATAGATGTACCATCTTCCAACAAGTAGTCACCAAAATACATATTAAGGACCTTTATATTTTTTTTCCTACTCCAAGCATTCTGTTGAGCAGTAGAAGTTGGTCTTGGAGGAACAACAACAAGGTCTTCAGTACAACCACCCAATTCTCCTAAAATGTAATCTCGATCTTTAACTAAATCAGAATGAATTACTTCCATAAGATCGTTTGCAATGCCAATCGATGTACCAGTTGATTGAATCAATTTTGCCTCAACAACCTGATTAACTTTTGATCTAAATTCTCCCAGCTTTGCAAACTCTGAATTCAAACTCTCAGTGACACTATTCATAGACAAATCATTACTCACATTATTTCTAATAGGGATTGACTTTTAAAAAGGAGAGGCTCCCTCATTAACAAATGACTCACCTCTTAAACCTAAAAGTTTCCCCATTTAGAGTTGAATATTCACATTATCTTCCATTACCTCATTCTTACCCTTGCCAATAACTTCAATGTCATATTTCTTTGATGATAACAAGCATCCTTCTTTTATGATTAATGGATTTCAAACCTTAACCAAAGCTTTTGCTGCTTGAACAAATCAAGTTTTCTCTTCTCCAAACACCGATAGAGAAGACAATAAAGTATGGGATGGAGCAAAAAAATTCCATGATGATGATCGTTTAATGTTAATTGGACCACCGGCCATCAGAGGCCAGTGACCCTATGCCACCGTCTAAACTAACAAAAAATCCCCAAAATTAGAAATTTAAAAAAATACCCAAATCCTTTCTAATTCCTCAAAATTTTGCTCTGTATCTTCTCTCTCTATTGCCTCCATAAATTATTCCAGCCACTTGGATTGTTGATGTGATAAGAACCTCAAAAACTACCTCTCCAAAATTAATGGTTCAAGTGTAGATCTCGTAATAACAAATCATATGCATTTAAACTCTTCAAAAATTTTCCTTGGCTCTCATTTTTCAATCATTAACTAAAATCGCTACTTGAATTATCTTAGGTGTCAAGATGTATGTCTTTCATTATATTTTCTTTCTCCTTTAAATAAACTTTCTTTCCTATGATGAGGGTTTATCAAAATATTGTACCAAATTTGTAAGAACCTCCTTAACTTTCTTATAGTCTTTCCCAGCCTCCTCAAGTTCAAGAAAACTAAATACCAGCTAGAGAGAGAAAGAAAAAGAGTGAAAGAAGAATTTTTGTCTAACTTGTGATCTAGCAGAATCTAAGCATTGGACCCTTCTAGGAAGTTGAAGAGGGTTTCTCAAGATTCACATAGAGTCCAATATTATCAAAATCCATCTATAATTTATTGAGAAATCTTAATTTAAAGTTTAAACTTCCAGTTGCATTTTCTCGTAGAACTTAATGCGTGGAGCATTTTGTTTTTTTGTAAAAACCTAGGGGGGG